GAAAATCGAAATGCTAATGGAACATGACTTTTCCTTAAATGTCTCATTCGAGAGCTTGGATTTACTGTAAATTGACTTCAAGGTGACAAACTGCAAGCGATTTTGACACCTTGGCTATTCCCACATTTGGATGTAGCTATGGTTTCAATGAGCTTGTCCAGGTACTCAGTTTTGCAATTAGCTTTTCATTACTCACAGGGGAAAACGTTTTTCAGTTAAGAATTCAATCAAACAACATCATAACATGGGTAAAGGGGATCAAATATATGGGAGCTGAACGAAACTGGACTTTGGGTGGTAAACACACAATAGAATATATAGATGTCAAATTATAACGTACACCTGAAATTTATATAATTGTATTAACCAATGTTATCTCAATAAACTCAATTAAAAAAAACACACGTCATAACAGAATTGTCATTGTGGTTGCTAAAATAACAGAAATCGTGTTGTTCTGTCTGACAGTAACAAATATTTACAGAGCACCTACTATGTGCCAGTGCTGCCTCAGCTGCAGGAGCAATAGTGAAAAGTGGTCACAACCCTGGAAGTTCATACCTTCAGCAAAGACAGCAAACCTGTCTAGTTTCTGAGACCTGAAAAGAAAAGCTACACACTTACACATTCTGGGCCAGGCACATCCTCAGTACAATACATATTTCCAAGCCAATCGAAAGGTGAGCACCGTTTGACAGTTCTCTCAGATAAATTGGGACCTAGGACACTGTCTGTCTACACGGGTGAGAAACTTCCAGGAAACCAAAGGTGAGTAAACTTCTTGTGGGTGACATTTACAGGAGCCTTTCAGCCCTCTTGTCTTCATTTGTCTGCCTGGCAGAAGCTACCTGCCCTCTGGCTGTGGCTCCCTATGCGGTCAGCACTTCAAACATGCATGAAAAATGTATAGCTCACAAAGCTTTAAAAATAAAACAAGAGACCAACTCTATCACTACATCTGCAGTGCACAAGGTTAGAAAATGAATAAAATCACAACACCCTACTGCTCTCCAGAATCAATCATTACATACCATGTGAGTGGGCGAGTGTCTAATGAAGTGCTCATCAATCTCAACGTTTTTAAAAAGCTGTCATTCTCCTCCATCTGGAAATCTTCCTTCTGCCCACTTTCCGCTATTTGCAGGGAGGGAAATCTCGTCTCGGTGGCACTCGTGACAAAGGAGAAAAATGCTGCTCAGGTTCTTCTTAGCCCATCTACCTCCGTCTCTGCCTCCTGACTCTCCCCGCTTCCTTTGACCATCCCGCTGTGACTACTCCTTTGGCCTCTGCTTTACCCACCCGCTCCTGGGCCCTGAGAATCGCAGCTCACACACCTCCGGCCAAATGTTTTTCTTCATAATATTTTTGGAGACATAGCTGTCATAAGAATCATTCCAATGATAACAACCTCCTGCCACTCTAACCATTTTTACACAAGCTGGGCCCTTATCGAGAGCACTGTGGTAGCCGGCATTGCTGCCTTCCACATGTTTATGCAGTGATGCCTTTGGGGTACATCTGTATGGCTCTTGCTATGGGCTGTATCAGAGCTGGGTCACAGGCTCTACAGGAGAAGGCATCTTAATTTATGCTTCTGACACTAGTATTAGCATTCAGAACTTTATATCTCTAAATAATTTCACATCGATTATACTGGCTCAGCTCTGTAACAAGTCTGATAGATATATATATATTTTTTAAAGAGGAGACTTTGATAGAAAAGCCCAGAACTTAGTTACAGCATCTCTGATCACGTGCAGTGAGCAGATTAGTTTATCACCCACGTGTTTGAGATTCAAAGCTTGGCCACATACATCATCCTATGAATAGATCTACGTAATCAGAAGCAACGTTTGCCCCCGCAATCCTGATTTTAAAATATGAAATAGAAAATTTTATTTTGGTTTAGAATCATTCATTTACGTTTTAGAAATAAAACTTTAGGAATCTATGACTAAGCTACTAGTACAAGTAAGTTTAGAAAGACTGCAAGATACAAGGGCAATATAAAAAAAATTTTATATACTAGCAATGAATGACTAGAAATTGAAATGATAAAAAACAACACTATTTATAATACAAAACATGAAATTTTTGTAGTATCCATATGCTAAAAACTATAAGTTAGGGTTGGGGAAAAAAAGAATCAAAGGAGACCTAAATAGACATTTACTGTGTTTATAAGTTAGAAGACTTGATATTGTTAAGATACCAATTGATTTGGATTCAACACAATCCAAATCAATAATCCAGTAGGATTTTTTAAATAGATATTGACAAGCTATTTCCAAAATTTATATGAAAGGCAGAGGAACTAGAACAGCTAAAACAATTCTGGCAAAGAAAAGCAAAGTTGGAAGACTCACACTATTAGATTCTAAGACATGTGAAAAGCTAAGTAATCAAGTGTCATATTGATGAAAGGACGGAGACCTAGAAAAATGAGATGAAATAGAGTCTAGAAATAGACTCATACATACATATGGTCAATTGATTTATAATATGATATAAAGACAATTCAATAAAGAAAGTATAATTTTTTTCAACATGGTGGGATATTGAAAAATCAACCAATGGGACGTTCGTTGATATGCAAAAAATGAATCTTAACCCATATTCCATATCTTAAAATAAATTAACCATCGACATATGAAATAGTTGACTTAAATATAAAATATAAAACGGAAACTTCTGAGAGAAAACAAAGGTGAAAACAGTTGCGACTTTATCTTAGGCAAAGATTTCTTAGATATGACATTAAAATATGAAAAAAATTGATAAATCGAACTTAACTAAAATTAAAAACTTCTGTGAAAGATACCGTTAAGCAGTTGAAAAGACTGGCAGAAAATTTTTACAGAACACACATCTAGAACATATAAAGAACTCTCAAAACTCAAACCACCAAATTTTAAAGATGAGAAAAAGACTTGACAGACACTTTACCCAAGAAGATACGTGGATGGCAAACGAGCTCATGAAAGGATGTTCAACGTCATCATTCATTAAGGAAAGGCAAAACAAGATCACAATAACACTAGACGCCTACTAGAATGGCTAGAAACAAAACAAAGCCCAAACTGACAATACTAAGTGCTGACAAAGATGCGAAGCAATCGAAACTCTCATACATTGTCGGTGGAAATGCAAAACAGTACGGTTACTTTGGAAAAGTTTGTGATTTTTTTTATAAATGCAAGATATACATATCGTATAGACCTCACAATCCCAATCCTAGGATTTTACCCAAAGAATTTACGCTTGCATAAAAACTTGTATATGAACGTTTATAGTAGTCTTAAAACCACCCAAACTGGCTGCAACTCAAATGTCCTTCAACTGGTGAATGGAGAGATAAACTGTAGTGTATACATACCACACGATACTACTCCACAACGATATCGATCGTTACACACAAGAGCGTGAATGAATCTTATGTGCATTATACCAAGTGAAAGAAGCCAGACTCAAAAGGCTAAGCTGATTTAAAGAAAACATAAATTTTAAAAATTCAATGAGGAAAAGGGTCATATAATGCAATTAAAATATATAAATTGTCTACTGAAAAAAAATCGACTAGTAAAAATACTCTCAGTTAAAACTAAGACAGAAAACTCAGGATGTGGAGCTGCTTGAATAGCTCTGAGTTGGAAAAACGCTGACCGGGAGGGTGCTGCTCCTGCCCGGGTGTGCCTCACACGTCATAAAGGAAAAACACGGCTTTTCTAACACCTTACCTTTAAAGAATCACAACCAAACCATGCCTTCCTCTCATAAATGCTCACAAGTGGCATTTCGTGCTTGTTTGTTTTCTAGTCCAAATAGTCTGTTCCTTTCGTTTGTGATTTGAAGAGTTCTTGGCTCTTCCAACCACGTAAGCAAACCACAGCACCGTTGGCCTTGAAAATTCAGAGATCATTTCTTAATGCTGACCTATTTTCATATAGGAACCATGGAGTGACCAGCTTATGAATGCGAAAATATACATGTTGAAGAGTCCTCGAACCTCGGACTATTTACACGCTACCCTAACATACATTCATCTCTCCTATCTTGACAAAGTTTTGCTCATCATTACTTTTCTATTAAACTCTCATCTTTTCTATGTCGAATGCAGAATGTAATAGAGAGAACAAGTTCCAAGTACTGCATATTAAAGTCAGTTCAGCCCTAACTAGCTGTGTGGCCTTGGAGAAATGACTCACCTCCCATAAATAATATTGTCTCCAGCCCTGACCTCTCACCAGGGCTTCTGATAGGAAACTTCAAATTCCTTCAGATGCATACAACCTCCCAGGCAGCATTTACTCATTCAGGGATATTGATCATAATGGCGTTTTTAAAATTATTACTCAAATTATAATAGTTACTTATTTTTTCATGGTTTCAAGCTTTATATCTTCAACTAGATTTTTCCAACCAGCGCATAAATTCTTTGAGGGGAGGGGATTATTCATATATGCATCTTGGTCTTCGGATAGTATCCACCACATAGTGAAGGCTTAAATATTCCAATATAATTACTTGAGCTTACATATTCCAGTTTTCCAATATAATCCCTTAACTTTGCAAAAAATGCAGCCAAGTCTGACATGCTTGTGGAGATTTTCAGGGCCTTCCCTGACCACTTGTCCTGCCTACTCCTAGTAACCTACCCACAGCCCTGGTCACTGTCTCTATCCTCACCCTGTTTTCATAGCATTAAACACTCTCTGAGATAACCTCTCCTTTTCCCTCTCTTTTTCTCTCACTCTCTTTTTTTTTTCTCAATCTATTTTCTGAAGCCTCAGACTAAGATTTAAGCTCCATGAAACAAGGGACCGATCATGCTCATTGTAGTATACTAGATCCTGGACCCATGCCTGGCACATAGTAGACACTCAATAAATATTTACTGAATTGTTAAACTCACCCCTCAATATCATGATGCCTATTAGAGAGTGAGCGATTGAAAAAAACAAAACAAAACAAAAAAAACAGAAAAGCTTCATATAATTTACCTGTAAAGAGGTTCTACAAGGTCCCTTTCGAGAAAATCATGATCGTTCTTGACTGCCAAAATGTTGATGGGAAATTGTGAATCTGAAAGAGAGATGAACAGAGACAAGGGATTTGTGTGCCTTGTTTTATCTGAATGGACACCCACGTCTTTAGGCCACCGCGTTTCTGTACACGTGACTGATCTCAACAGCAGTTACTCCCCACTGATAGGGAGTGTGTTGTAACGGTTAAGATGGCAGGCAGTCTTCTTTTTATCACAATAAGTTCTTTTAAGACAGAAAAGAAATGTGAACTATGAGGATAACCAAGTGCTCAATCCTGGATAAGGTTGAGTACTAAGTGCCTGCATTGTCATAGCCCATCATTATCGAGGCATTTGCCTGTATGGACCGGAGATTTCACAGCCTTCCCAAGGCATATAGGTCTCTGATTCTCTCCTGACCAGTTCATGAAATATTCAGTTTGGCGGAGTATTTTTTTCCTTCAGAGAGGAAATTTCTAAAAATACTCGAAGCTCAATGGCCTCAAATGTTTTTTTCCTTTTGTAGCAAAATCCTGAATCACTTTAGAGTATAAGCAAAATACTCGACTAGCTGATTCTATCCAAAGAGAAGAAAAAATTTCACTCTCATGACTTTTTTCCACAGTGGGTGATCATTATAATTATCACCGTATAGTGTTGCGAATATTAAATGAACAGTTACATGAAGTGGTTTGAACAGTACCCGGCACATTGTCAGCTCTATGCAATATTTGCTCTTATCCTCATTACATTTATTCAATGAATATGGCTTAAACACAATCTGGCAGGCACCTTTTTTTAATGAGGTTGTCTTTACTTCGTATCCATTTACGGACACTTCACATTTAAATCGCCTAGTATTTTGAGTTTATAAAGAGAGTGCACGTTACAGTAGATAATATACTGCATTAAGGCTCAAGGGATTGTGATTTTAATTTTGAGTCTTCTAACTTTTAACCTCGGACAAGTCACTTAACTCTTTTGGGCCTCTCTTTCAGTAAATTGGTGGGGGGGAGGGAAGCAGTGGGGGAGGGATGCTTAGATCAAAACTCTAAGAATCCCTCCTTTTCTAAAATGAAAACTTCTATCAGAGTTTCTAGACTTTGAAGCCCATTCAGAAATAAGCTTTTCTTTATCTTCACAGAATTTCAGTGAGAGAAGTAGAATAAGTGTTTTGTTTCGTTTTATTTTGTTTTAAACTATAAAACAGAGCCTCTGAGTGAATGAGATTAACCAGTGAATACGAGTTAATTTTGCTGATTCTGTCCATCCTACATAAATGTCGTTGCCATCTGCTTATTGTTGGGATTCTGACTAATTTACGTACATACTATCCGAGAAGATGTTAGGAGCCTTGGTTATAACTTAAGGTATAAGTAAGATGTAGGTGAGTTAAGTTTATGACCCGTCGATAAAAGAAACTACGATACGGGCAAGAAAAGCACCTTATTTGCATCCCCCCAAATAACATCTGATCCGTATTATATCTCAAAATTTTCATAGGAACAGAACTGAAGAAAGATCTCAAGATAATTAGCTTTCTGATTTTGGGGAAATCAATCAACAACGAATTTATCATACTTTCAAGAAAACTGAGAGTCGTGAAGAATAAAACAAGGAAAAAAGTTAAAGAAGGAAGTGCGGAGAAGCTGCCGATGGCAGAAGACTGAAGGAAATGATGGAGTAGGGACCGGCGGCAGAGACACGAGAAGCAGAAGGCGAGGCCCGGAAAGCGAAGCAAGCTTGGGAAGCAACGCGCATTCCCAGACTGGCATCAGCATGAGCGCTGGTCGATGCAAAGCCGAGGGAAAATGAAATACTACCATTTGTGACAACATGGATGGACCTCGAGATAATCATGCTAAGCAAAATAAGCCAGACAGAAAAAGTTGAAAATCACATGTTGTCACTTATCTGTGTGATATAAACCTAAAAGCAACAAATGAGCAGAACAAACAGAGACTCATGGACATAGAATATACACTAGTGGTTACCAGAGGACTATAGACTAGTGGTTACTAGTGGAGTAGGGGAGGAGGAGGGAGGTAGATAGAATAAAGGAGGTCATATATAAGGGTTTAGGGGGAGGGTGATGTGGGTAAAGGGGATCAAATATATGGTAGCTGAAGGAAACTGGACTTTGGGTGGTAAACACACAATAGAATGTACAGATGTCAAATGGTAATGTACACCTGAAAATTATATAACCAATGTTACCCCAATAAACTTAATAAAAAAAAAAAAAGAACGAGAGGAAGGCCGACCTACCCTCGTATAACTGAGCGTACTGCGGGAACCCAGCTGCTCGGAGCCAGTCGCACGCCTCCTTTGCCTCGATTTCTGAAAAATATAAGAAGGAGAAAGTCATGAGTCCGAAGGCCACACGCCAGTACTCTACCTTCTCATCCAAGGAGCAACTGGCGAGCGCTGTGCAAGTCGCTACAAAGTGAAATTGTTCTCAGATAGGTCTGTAGAAATAGCCTCCCCAGAAATGGCGTAAAATGAGCAGGTATCAGGAAAGTACCTGTTATATGTCTGCTAAGATTATCTTCAATGTCGGCCCATAGGTATTTGGATAATAACAAAACCGAAGATTAAAGAACACAAAGGCTGAGTTTTAGGCAGGGAAAAAACATCTTTATTTATATACCAGGGAACCAGGGGACGAGGGAGAAGCAGGAAATAGTTCCTGATAATCGTTTAAAAAAATTTTCTTTTCAAAGATAAGGCTAAAAATATTTATTAACATTCCTTTATTCTTTTACCCTTGGGATCATGAAAGAAAGACCGCAACTGGGGAGTCTATGTAAATCTATTTTCTCACGAAGAAAGCTATTATAAAAATCCAACGTATTACGATTGCTTTCATCTTACTAATGGCTTTAATTCCCAATGCCTTCTGACAAGATGTTCATTCATCAAGCAGATTAGAATGACTTCAAGCTGCAGAGTACAGCCTGGAAAAGCAAGGGCCCTTATCCGGAACTGAATTGTGAGTTCGATGGCGCTGCTAGAACCTCTGAGGGCCGAACGAAAGAGGTCGATATGTCCTCTGGGTGAACCATTTTTGGTGTGGACGTCCCCACAGCACACGAGACCACCTGCCTGGATGGAAAAGCCGTGGCGGGGGATGAGAGGAGTCTACGGGATGTGAACCAGGTCACTTTTTGACCTTGTGAAACCTGGACCACTTCCCAGCCACAACTCTGTTAGATAAATACCAATGGAAGGGAAAAGTTCATCTGTCAAAAGTCCAGTTTCTCCAAAAGAAATTGCACAGCCTATTACAACGGGCTCCTTCCTCTGCTGTTGGGGTGGAGCCTGGTCCAGCCACTGCGTTGCCATATACGCTGACATTTGTTTCTCCCCACAGCCAAAGCCGGAGACTATGGGCAGTTTTGGGTACCACTGCATAAAGCGACCTACGCGAACATCAGCTGTGGGTCTGAGCCCGTACATCTATGTTGAAAGTTCGATGTCTGTTTAGCACAATGTTTAATGTGACAATTCTCTGGCATGTGTTAGGAAAACAGACCAAAGGCCAGATCTTGCACAGGCCCCAAAGGGAAGAGCAAAAACCCACATTCCCATCCCACTGATCTGGTCGGACGTGGACAGAGATTGATTTTTAAATTCAGGGAAACAGAGCCTGTGGTGGCTTCTGTCCCAGAGTGCCCGCTGCTTTTGGCATCCCCTAATCCACTCTCATTCCAGTGACAATTTCTAAATCTGGAGCTTTATCTCTGACATAATTGCTACCAGCACAGACCTAATATGTACTCATGCCTGCCATGTATGCATTATTCAGAAATTATTCCCGGGTGCCAAGCTAGAAATGAAAGCTTCGGACAGTATCTACCAGGAGGGGTGTCTCTGGCACCCCCAGCGCAGTTCAAGGACTTCATCTGAGTTGTACTAAACTGGCCAACTCGGGATTTCCCTTTGGAAAATACGAAGGGCAATTACCATATAGCTCAAAAGTCCTGTTTAGTACTCATTTGAGAGTCCTTATGTGAAGGCTTTTGCTTTGAAAATCACACATGTATTTCCGGGGAAGTAGGAAATGCACATTCTGACTGTAACACGTAGAAAATGTGTGAGTTTCTACTGAGTCACAGATAGGCTGCTGCCTTCTAAACTTTCAAGCTTCAGATTTGCTTTCTAGTTTGATATCACACAGTGGTCAGTAACGAGGAAATATCTCATTTCTAGAGGTGCTCTACTTAATTTTGAGTTAGCAGGTCTTTGAGAAGGACAGGAGTCTGAATTTTCTGTGGGAACTACATGAACGGTATGTCCTTTTCTATTACGTTATGGCTTTTGCCACTATGGAACTGTCGCATTAAGCAGGAGAGTCCCAGAGAGACAGATCATAAAGAATAAATGGTGGAGACCTGAAAGGCAGGGTCTTTATAACACAGAAAGCTCAAAGGAGAGTGGGAAGTGAGCTTATGAGGAGGTGTGGACTCTACCAGCCTGGGGGAGGGGTGGGGACGCTGGAGTCAGAAGGACAGTGAGCTGGTGGGGGGAGGTGGGAAAGAAGGAGTCCTTACTGGAAAACTCTTTTTGAGAACTGAAGACTGGGCCTGGGCAGTGGAATAGGGCTCAGGCGAGCCTGAGCGATTTCATTTAAAGCACTTCATTTAATTTTTTTTTTATAAGAGCAACGTCAATAATGAACTGATATCCTACCTATACATAAACGTGAATAATCAAATCTTAACCAGAACTTAGCTAAATCAAACCCTCCAACAAGCTAATATTTTTAACGGGTAGGCATTTCACCGTTCAATCTCAGAGTCAGATGACAACAAAAACTGCAATGAGTAAATAATAAATGAGAAGAAGCCACACCTCAGCCATGGCCTTGGCTTCTCGCCATCACTCCCCACACCCGACGCGCTAGTCTATTTATGAAATGTTTCTTAAACGCATCCCCCCTGCTCCAGCTGGGAGATATCCAACACCTCGATATCTCAATCTAAGGGCAAAACGAACTCTCGTTTACCACCTAGTGACAAAGCAAACGAACACAATAATCTGGCATAATTAACCACTATCAAATTTGACTCTGCCCATCAAGTTGAATTCGAGGAAAAAGAAAAAAAGCAGCCTTCCAATTCTGCTGATTTCACACAGCGTCTACTAAAACCTACGGGCCAAATGCTAGCATGTTCCCCAGGGTACATAACTCTTGCAGTGGCCAAAATGATTAGAGAATTAAAAAGGAATCATTATTGCTAGCATCGACATTTCACAAAGATGTACCTAATACGATTTAAATGACATTGGAGGAGGGGATGACAACCTCCTTTTTACTGTGCTCATGCTAGCCAGCATAATAGTATGTGAAAGCTTTAAGGGTCATTAAAATCACATTCTGACAGTTTTATTTGCTCTGCATTTGCAACCCATACCTGCCCTTGTAGCAGCCCCGGGGCTACAAAGAAAAGCATCAACTTGCTGCAAGCCTCCTGCAGACGCCGAAGTGCGGGTTGGAACCAAGGACTGTCCTAGAACGGGTCAGCCCCCAACCTCCACTGCGGACATCACCGTATGACATTGGAGAAAACTCAACCTATTTCGCTTGGTATCATGATAGGATTTCAATAAAATGTTTTTTAATCATTATATGCAAAAATCGTTTCTGTTTTATTCTGGATGGTACCTTTTTTTTTGCTCGCCCAACGTCCTTCCTCCCATGTCAGATAAGAGAACCTCTCTATGTGGTTTAGGTGGGGCCGACACCCCTCACTATCCCAGCCACACTCCTCAGCCCTATCACCACCACCACTCAGCCAGGGATGATGTGCTCCTTCAGGGCGCTCCACACCCCTTGGTCTAAGGGGACCAAAGACCTTTGCTATCTCAAGTCAACAGTTGTTTGGGGGCTGAAATCGACTGGTTGCGAAGGTGGATATCCAGTTTTTTCAATTGGTAGCTTGATCTGCACGAAAACCAAGCAAACTCTTTCACTCCACAAACCCAGAGGATGGTTTGGCGCTAGGCATATTCTCCTGCCATACAGTTGTGATTCTTCTGGAGAGAAAGTCACTTGTTTTGCCTTTTGTACACGTTTAGGACATAATGTGACCTCTGTCCAGAGACAGACATGGTGGAGGGCGGCTGTCTCACTGGCTGCCCAGGCAGGCGCACATCAATGGGCATGAGAGAAGGTCGCTGTGGAGACTGACCACGACCCGTGACACAGGTTTGAAAGGTATTATCATGTTTCTCAATTATACATGCTCAGGGGTGAGAATGTACAAGAAATACATAAAGGCATGATGAAGGAAGAAAGTCGATTCTTGTCTCGTTACTAACACATAAGAAATAACACACATATTTTATTTCTCAGAATGGTAATACGGTAACATCTTTGGTTGACGCCTTCTTCACATAATAATACATTGTGACTATTTCCCCATATAATGATATTGTTGGCAAAATAGGACATTTACTTCGTTTTGAAAATGATGCGTATTTTTTAAATCCTTGACTTTTGAATAGTGTACGGTTCAGTAGGACCACACCAGTGCAGACGGATGACGGGGAAGGCTGGAAGTCTGTGTGACTTAAATGAGATTCACAGGCTGTTTCTTTAAAGAAACACACCATTTAGTGATGTTTGGGGACAGTTGGGTGTACCGAGGGCCTCAGTCACATAAGGAGTTACACTGAGCGCAGCTAATTCGCTGCCCAGGTCCGCAGGCTTGCTCTCATGTTACGGTCTCACTGAATTTTTAAACTGGTGTTTTTAGAGCACCTAGGAACAGCATGTTCCCCTAGCTAAGCATTTCAAGTCCATTTGGGTTTACATTATCCTCGGCATAGCAATTACTTTTTCCATAGCTAACCCGAAGGAATACTATTCTTTCTAAATGACCAAAAATTCAAATTAGGGCCAAATTAAATTTTATTTTTATCAGAAAACTAGTTGGCTAGGAGAAACCTGGCCTACTGCGGAAAGTTTATGAAATTATTGTGTATGTGTTGTCCTTACAAATCTCTCGGAATTTCAGTGGACAAACTGGCTCCAATTTAAGTAGGTCTTCCTTCAATGCTCGTTAGAAGTACTCAAGAAAAGTAGAGAAGAAAAGATCTCATGGATCTCCAGGTGATTACATGAGCGAGCTTAAGAACAGTGTTTTGTTTATTCACTTAAACTGGCTAACACAGTGGGTACCCTGGTTCTGAAATGTTTTTGGATGACTCATCCACCACAAGATGTCTGCAGTGGATGCAATTATCACAATTAAAGTATATCACAGGTATTAACATTTCAACAGGCTCACAGCCGTTGGCTTAGGATGATTTACACGGCAGAGTTAGCTTCATTA